TATATAAAATTGTAAGTTTTTATTTTTATTCTTATTTTCATTTCGTAGTTATTTTTCTTTTTTTTTTTTAATGTTAGCGAATTTAATGTGATTAATAATAAATAATTTTGTATTAATATTCGTCCACTTATTTATAACAATAAATAAAAATTGGTTTAATTATTCCACAGTAGGTTTTTCGCCAAGTCCTAAAGGTATAATAAGTGTTTAAAAATACTAGGTAATAACTTTAGGTTTCCATGGCTGGTGTCGTTGGTACAAGTTGGTTTTCGAGCTGCTTACGACGTCGTCCATTTGCAATCACTTAACGTTTCGAGAGATATGGTGTTCTCTTCTTTAACAGGCCATTTAAAGCAGTTTTAAGTGAAATAAATAGACAACGTGGTAGCCAGCTCGAAAATCAACCTGGTAATGTAATGGTAGCAATATTTATGTTTTTTGTGATAAATATTTAAGCAGGTGTTTCATATTTGTGATAATCGTCGAAAGCATTTACCAAGCCCCTTAAAAAAAAGCAGACACCTAATAAAATACATCAAAAAGTAGTCATTTGCAACTACTTTAATTAATTTTCAACTTCGTTTATTCAAATGTCCAAATTTTCGCGCCAACAATCGCGAAGGTTGGCTTTGAAAACGTAAAGTTTAATGCTCGTCTCTGATTGGCCGGACAATAATGGTCTTTTCAAGTGACGCTACTTTTATAGAATTTGTTTCTCGACATTAGCTCTGCAATTTTTGGAAATTTCTTATAGTAAAAGTGTAAAAATTCAATAACTTTTTATCAAAACGCGTTCTTTTAATGGTCCACTACAGGAGGTATGTATTTTTTTATTTCGCCCCCAAATGATTTTCGTTATTTTTTGAGATAAAGTTTCAATAATGTAACCCACGCCATGATCAATATTAAAATTGTGAAAAACAACGAATATATTATTGAAAACGGACTAAATTCGTTGTTTTTTTACAAAACAGCACTTCTGCAAGGTTTTTTTTTATATATTTGTTGATATTAAACTGAAAACTGAAAATTTTGATACCTAGACATCTTCGTCATGATTCAATACAAATACAACAAAACTGCAGGTTTTCGTTAATACAAATCTTTTCTAAATGTCTTGTGAAGCAGATTTTGGTTCTCTGTTTTACTGATTTGGAGTTTGAATTTTGTAAAATTACTCATTTGTCTAAGAACATGAAGTACGAGTATTTTTGTTGTATTTTGTCTCAAATTCAGTTGCTTTACATAAAACAAAAGCATACAAAGCAGTATCATCAACAAAAGAAGGTATTCTAGTGTCAACTGTTACAACATTTTACAAATTAACCACTTGTTTTTCTTTGGTACCTGTAATATAATCGAAAACTTCTCAGTTGTATAAAAGATGTCCTTTTTTAATTGTTTTCCACTTGTTATCTTACAAAATGGATTCTTAAACATTTTCTATGTCTTTATAGTAATTGGAATGGAAATTAGACTTTTTATATCAGAAAGACTTGTTCAACATAATACCAATACACGCAACACATAGATACACACACACACACACACAAATTGATTTAGAGGTTTTGACCAACAGGATGTTTAAAACCTTTTTCAAGACTTCTGTATTAAGGCCTCCACCCACTTTTAACAAGGTAGGAATTTTACACAATTGTTAATTTTAATAATTTTTTTTAACTTTACGTATAGCAACTCAGTTTTCTTTATAAATAGAAATACAACCAAACTGGAAATATTCTGTTGTACAAATCATTTCTATTTACAATGCACAGCAGACACAATTTTTTACTTACAAGAAGTTAGAACATTGTAATAGGACTCCTTTTTATAATAACTTGAAATAGACGTACCTTTGCTATGTTTTTTCTCAAATTCACATGTTTTTCATAAAACAAAAGCATGTGAAGAAGTCAAAATGATAGATTGTCGATGTTCTTTCTTGCTATCTCGCTGCTTCAATTCTGAGATGTTTCCCTTGTTTTTGCAGCAATTGGACTGAAAATTACACTTTTTTGAAATAATGACAATACCTGTACAAATTGAGTAGGAGAATGGACTCAAATGATAGAGAATTAAAGCTTTCCCTATTTCAAAAGATGTAGGATCATCTTGCATATTTACTGAGACTTATTCCCTATAGAAGGTAGGTACCTTACAAAACAATATTACTCTTATAGGCCTCTGTTTATGCAATTATTTCGCTTTGTAACAAACTTCAATGGTTTATGTTTAGTATACAACAAATAAATTTAAATTATTTGTTGTTAATACTTGGTGAATTACAATTATGATAATGAAACAAACTTTGAAAATTTCACCAACATTTAATTAACACTCGATACGTATTTCTCCTTATAGTGCATCATCACGAGTAACAATTATACAATAGTATAAGGCGAAATACGTATCCAGTGTTAAATAAATGTTGGTAATATTTTAAAGTTTGTTTCATTATAAAACAAATAAGTTGAATTATAAAGCATAATTCAACTAAATTTTAAATATTGTACCATTGTAATACATACCCTTTGTCTGGAAGGCAGACTCAGACCATCCTGCAGGTAAAAGAACCAACTGGTTCCATTGAAAATAGAACATATTTTGATTTGTAAAGATAACTTATCTACAAATTGAAATAATAATATAAAATACAAAAGAATTTAAATTTCCAATTAAGGAGGCATGAAGTGTAATTCAAACGCATACCTTATCCTTGAATATCGATTCTCTCCGCCCTTTAAACCTTAATTTTGAAGACTTGTTTTTATAACATCTAATTTTATCAAATATTACGAAACTAACACACCCAAACAAGAATAATACATAAACAGGAAGGCACAAACATATTAATGATCG